CGCCAGATTAGGCAAATAATACGACCGAGGGACGAATACATATAAGTAAAGATTGATCCGATGGCTTCCATGGCAATTTAGCTTTATAGAATACAGCAAAGCTTAACTTACACTTTACAAATCGTTATGGCACACAAGAACGGTAAATACAGATCACTGTGTGTAAGTCCAAGGACTTTTAACAGAAATTATTGCATTTTATTCATTTTTCACGTAAAACAAGCACTTGTCACAAAAAAGACAGAAGAAACACACCAACGTTGCTAATGCGAAAGGTGATGCCTGTGATAGCTGATCACGCCTTTTCTCAGTTAGGCTGTTAAAGTTGCCTTGGCACGGAGGAGTTGACAGGATGCAGTAAAAAAGCAACACCCTAGAGGGCCTAGGCAAAGCTTTTATTTGCCCTTCCGTCATCGCCACGCACATTGCATGTGTAATGATAGTGAAAGCGTCGCTATGTACATATACAACAATAGAAAACGAGCTGACAAACACTAGGTATACACCACCCAAATAGGTAGATAGAATAGAAAGGCCGATTACATGAGATGATGTCGTAGGACGAGGGCAAAGATCGAGGCCAAGGCTGAAAGCGAACGAGTAGCAACCAGGTCTCGCTTGTAAGTGGCCTATTGCACCCTCGTCGAATAAAGTCAATTCATTAAGATCTTTCTTTATTCTATTTTGCTATTTTTTTTCTATTCTTCTACATCCGCTGAATGATTCTCTGGATTTCTCAGCGCTTAATTCCCTCTAAAACGATGGCAGCGTACCCCGCTGATTCCGCGTCACTGATTGATAACGAACGCTGCTGTCACTGTGATTTCGATAATGACGACTCCGCTAGTTGCATTTAATGCCGGAACGATCGCAAGTACACCGCTGCTCTTGCTAAAAATGGCGATGTTGCTCTACATATTCTCAGGCGTTCGTCAGTGCCATTTAGCTCTGAAAGCTCGTTCCATGTTCCTTGATTTCGAGATGTTTCTACAAATCCTCTATCTGCTTTAGATACTTACAGCGTAAACAGCATGTGGACAGTGTTGCAAAATGTATGACTACTCAAGCGGACCGACAGCTTCTTTTGCCTTTCTTGTAGCTCTGGGGTTTGTTTGTTGCCTGTCAGTGCCGCATAGCAGACTACTACTGCTATTGTTATTGTACCAGCTCGACCAGAGGCTTCAAAGGGCCTGCGTAATTTATGAAAACGAAAAAAATTTTTCCCTGTCGTTTTCTAGTGCCAACTGAGTTTCGGCATCATCTTGTTGCTGAGGAAACCACGAGGATGGCAAGTCCTTCGGATGCTGCTGTTGCCGCTACTAGTTTCAGTCTTGCTTAGCTCAGACACTGTTCTTCTAGTCTAGTAGCGACTAAGTCCTCTTACGCGCATTCTTCGATTTCTTTCCGCACTCACGCTTACAAGTAAAGAATCACAAGGTTATTTCTAAAAAAAATCTTCGTATGGTTTCGAACGGAACGTCTCATTTTCCTATCGGTGTATATGTGCTTGTAATTGGCCGCACGTTAAAAAAAATTAATTCGTAAAGCATTAGATGGATATCGAAACAACTAACAGTATCCAATGGCAGGGAGTGCTGGATGAACGCACTAAGGAATTGTTGAGATGACACTATCATTACGGATCCTTGGGTCTCTATCAATAATGGTCTACGTCTGCTGGATGGACACGATAGTGAGTCGATAAGTAAGCATGGATGAGGGTAAACCTTGGCACTTGGTCGTAGTCACCTTTGGTCAAGTAGACAGGTAACGAATGGTGTCGTAAGTTTAAAACATAATTAGTTGGTGTATACTCTAGGCTGCTCCTATTGATAGGTCTGCTTGCCTAACCAAGCTCGACGGTGGTTCACGAACTCAGCAGGCCTTGGAAATACCATTTGTATTGGCATACGATTAAATTGATAGGCAAAAAAGCTCGTAGGTACATAAGCAGCTGTTTGCTGCATGATCTCGGTGAGAGACGCCAGGATTAGGACGCTGCTGTACTTGCGAGCCAAAAAGATCGAGAAAGATCTTCCAAGAAGCAGCGTAGTCGGTAGGAGCCCAGTGCTATGGGCTGTGACCCGAAGACAGAGTATATGCGCTACTCTGCCATGTCATGTACGGGAGCGCATACTTACAATAGAATTTCCATGGCTAGGTCTTTTGACTTAGCCACGGAAATACCTGAGGAGAATATCGTCGTTGCTTTGTTTCGCTTAAAAAGTAAAAACCTCCGTATATATAGGAATATATACAGCCACTCCCTATACTGTCGCCTTGGCGAATTGCAACAATGATAAAGAAAAACACTGAGGCCGTTTCAATATATGTCGTTATAAATCTAGGTGTATCCTCGGCTGTTTCAGGCACGAGTTCCTAAATTCTACCCCGTAGAAGCGCACGTGAGTTCCCTGTTCAGCCGTCGGCAAAGACTAGTAGAGGGGTGTATCCTTCGACTCTGTACTACTCAGACCTTCATGGCCTTTGTTTTCGTTCTCTAAGACGATTTCACGTATTTGTGTTACGTATTGCCGCTGGAGGACACCATGAGCCCTGTGACTAGGCGGCCTGTATCGATTAGATAGGGTGGCTCACAGAAAGAAGTTTTGCTGTCTCCAGCGGTAATTGTTAAGAAGAAGCTAACAACGCGAGCTGTTACTATCATTACCAGGTTCATCCGCAGTATACACGGGCGCAAATTAATCAAATTACCCGAACCATTTAGCTAATCGGGATGAGCCAGACGGCTGCCGACCAGGCGCCTCAAGGCACTGTTCTGTCGCAGGCTTTCGTTTCCTCTGTTGGTAGAGCTGCAGTCAGTCTATTTTAGGTCAAGAACAACCCAATGTGTGTATGTGTGAATGAATAGCGGGCGTTCAGCTGAACGTTAACGAAGGTCTGTTCTGACCGTCACTTATGAGAACTGAAAAGCAGTACGAGCGGTGAGGACGGAGTGAACGACAACGTATCGACATCTGGCAACGTGGATAGTTTATATATGTAACTTATATATAGGTTATATAAGATACTAGAGAAAGTTTCCATTGATAGTCTTGCATAACAACATAAGTGAACATAACCAATCACATACATGTCAGATAAATTAAGTGCATAGCGAAAAATTGAGTTCGTATAGATTCTAAATGGCGTTAATTTTAATTTAAGAAAGCCAATCACTTATCTCAGAAATTAAATGCGTTTTAACAATGGATCCTTCCATTCCATATCCGCAGCGCAAAGTGTATAATGTATTTCGCCGAACTATTGTATGCAAAGTCCGCCAAATATAAAATTGTTACATTTCATAAAAATTAAAGCAAAAAGCCTTAAAACTAAGTATACTGATATCTTAGTTCTCGATGATAACCATTGTTGATATCGAGGTGAGACTGTTTCATTGGTACGCATGATTAGAAGACAATCATTGTGCGAAAAATGAAATAGTTCAAAGAGCAATCAAGCAGAGAGGCTTTTATGTTCTGTTTACGGCTTCAGCTATGGACGCCGCAGGCTGTTGTGAGGTAGGTGTGTTACGAAACAAGAGACCATGCAAATATCGTAGATCCAAACCAAAAACGATGGGGTTCAGGGCCAAATCTACATGTACAATATCCCTACGCTTCTGTTCACGTATCCTCTATGATCATACACCGCTAGGTGAATGAATTTGTTTGAAATTACTCGTCTAATCTTAATCTTCACTGTATAGGCGTAACTTCTCAGTAAAAACCCCAAATATTAAGGTAGAGCCAAAAAACGTATTAAGATAGATACTATAGCCTGACTAGATCTCGCTCAACATTTGGTCTTCTGGCTTCTGTATATCCGCCAAAACCGCTTTCTCTGTTCTCGTCGACAGCATTTATTGTGAAAAACGGGGCTAGGGCTGAGAACAGTATACTAAGGAAATCGGGTTGTGTTGTCGTAGAATTTGTCAAATTGATAGTAAAAATATTTGTTCGAATTGACATCCGGCTGTTCCTATGCCATAACCGGATCACAAGATAGGCAGGCAGGCAGGCAGGCAGGCCTATTAATATTGAAATAAGGGAACGAAGTGTTGTGATTCTTCTTTAGCATCCAGAGGAAAATTCCAGAAAAAAGAATTCTGTTCGCCATAGCCGATGAGCTTGTGGGACATCATCGCTTTGGTTAGCGGTGCTGCTATGATCGTGCCAAATTCTGTCTGCTTGTCTTTATCACATTTTATATCTGCGTGCAGACATAGATGCCCACAAAGCCCATTCAAAACTCTATACGCACCCTACAGAACAGAGCTGGTGAAATTGTCTCGTGCTAGCTGTTAGTGCGTACTCGATCACTGGATTCACTATAAATGCCACGAAAATTATCACATTTACAACAGTTCTAGTAAATTTCTAAGAGGCAATTTGTAGGTCTGCTTTTTCTGTCTCAGTCGGTTTTCATTTCAAGGATGCTCACACGGTAGTATACGATTTATACGATTTTTCAAAGAAAACAACATATGACTAGTATATACATAGACCTAGGCAAGACGGCCGTGGCCTGAATACAAAGCAAAAATGTCGAAGTGAAACGACGCGATCCATACAAACATCAGATGCTACACTTGGTCGTCAAAGTTCAATGTCAAAATGGAATAAAATATACCGCGAGGATTCTTCGAAGCGAAATGATACGGAAAAGTTCGGATGACGCAAATAACGGCGGTTTCCCAAGATGTACTTTGGTTAGTTTTTTGGCCATTGCATATGGAACGACAGAGCTTACTATAACACAATCATGATGCCAATTGGCCACCTCTGTAGGTCGGTGCGTTGCTGAGGCTCACTTACTTCACACTGAAAAAAAGCTTCACGACGTGTCATTTTGCAATCAACTAATCCAGTCTTAAAGTACCCTACTTTATACATTTAATTACCGCGTTAAATCAGCCCAAAGTTAAGAAGGTGCCATTTACTTGATTGTAAAAATTACGCAAACCCACACTATAAGAAAATGTCTATTAAAAAAGATGTTCAAAACCAGAGTTTATTATTAGACAGTGAATCTCAAGAATGCTCTTTTTTTTAAGAAACTGTCCGCTACGAGCAATTCACGGAGACGATAATAGGAGGTAACTGTGTAATACTTTTTAAAAAAATTTCCTGCTTATTCTTCTTACGTATGCAGTATCAATCATCTCAGTGGGCTTCACATGACATATTGCAGCGGGTAAAAAGCATTGGGCTGTTTCATTAGACTTCCAGACACGTATCGATTTGACTCTATGATTACACTGCAGTCCACGTCATTTTTCCAGCAAAAATTCTAAAATTACAATCAGGACAACAAACAAACGTTAACTCGGGCGCGGCCAACATATAAAAGAGCTAGGCGTTAGCCGATACATTATCAATATCTGGCCAACGGCCTAGTTTTTCACGAGGGCTGATAGACGCTAGATAGTAAGAGCACCACATGGTTCCCCTCTATTTCGACGGTGCCATAATATACCCATCTGATTTCGACACATGCGCGACTCACTTGCGAAGGGCAATTGCTGCCACTGATTTTATTGAGCTGCACTTAGAAGCAAGAAAATTCATTTTCCAAACCGAGAAAGCTGTCTGTTTAGGCCACAAGATCACGGCCGCCGGAATTTTCTTGAATCCTAGCAAGATCTGGGCAGCAAAAACCGTGCTTACCTTAGCGTCGGCTAGGGAGTTGAAGGGCTTCCTGGGGTTAGTTTTCTATCACCGGTGATTTGTACGATCTTTTTTTGCAAATTGCTCTTCTCCGCGGTGAATACGAAACGCTTCATTTGGAACGACAGAACCTGTCGGCTGTTGCAATCCTAGCTCAAAAGAGTACTGCCCTGTGTCCCTTTTGGCAGGATCTGGAGACGAGATTACAAACGGACCGCTGTCTAGGTTGGTCTGGATCGAATACAGGGCTCGAGTGGGTTGTTGTATACGCCAGCCGCCGTTTGATTGACGCCAAAACTCGACTAAGCGCCTAGCGATACTGTGGGCCGTTGACAAATTCCAACCGTATTTGTGTAAGTGACACCTCTAGGTTGTTATTGACTGCATTAGATTAAATTACTTAAAGGAGAAAGCGAACCTGTGCCATAGTTAAGGCGCTGGGCTCTAACCTTCAGACGCTTTGTCGCGTCCGACCGTACCACTGGTACATAGCAGCGTCCTCGAGTTAGATAACGTTCAGTGAACTTAGAAAGGAAGCCCCTGCTCGTACAATACAATTAAACACACAGCTTTGCATCCCAGCGTGCATGCTTAAATATAGCGTGGTCTACCTAGTTTAAAGGTAAGCAGGACTATTCCACGTTCTTTAGACTCAATGGATAAAAGTAATCACCGTATGCCACTTGGGAGACTGGCAAAATGTTTTGAAGAGCGCTTCGTTATCCGGTCCGAGAAATGTTAGTGCAATGTGAGGTCTCCCAGCAACGGAAACGACGTTCAGAAAAGCGCGACGTGCCCCACATGGCGCCGCCGCCGAAGCGTTACTCCGAGAAGGTATCGTTAGACTTCATAGTCCCTCTTAAAGTTCCAAGTATTGATCGATCATTGTGTCCATTCTGTCTAGCGTATGCCGGCTCAGAAAGCGACGCCGAGTGCCACGATTCGAGCGCTGGAAGTTGCCCAGGGCTGCTTCGGGGGTCTTGGCGCCGTCGTGACGGCCAACGCGACTTTACTACCTCACACGAAATTACATCAGACACATCAAAATGGTTGTCGGAGACTTACGATGGACCGGGCTGGTCGAGTGCACGATTTGAACGGGTGACGGAAAGGTTGGTTTAAATAATTGTGGAAAGACAGCAGCAGTTCCAGGAAGCGTTTTCGCTGAATACATACTTGAACGAGAGTCTGTGGAGAATGCCTTTGTAATTGCTTGTTGGCTACTGGGCCGTACTGTCTAAACAGTACTGCGGCTGTGGAAACTCCAGCAGGCGGGGTGTCTAGAAGTACGCACTGGTAAATGAGAAATCGACAACGGCATGTGAAGGAGCGATTCCCCCGAGGGACTTCGAGAATGGTAAAGATGCTTGTAAAGGTTAAACGGCCGACGAAAGGACTCTTCAAGAAGTTAGAGTCACCCTACCGCGGACCATTTACTACCGTGAACTAGGTCACCTATCGGGACCTAGGAACTAGGACCTATCGGGTTGCCATGGCAAGCAGCTGCACGTGAAAAGGTCTATGGGATATGCCGGAAAACATATTTCGGTAGCGCGGCCAAATGTAAAGGCTGTCTAGCCTGTAACGAGGCCTAGTCCATGTCTATGCCATCGCCGTGAGTCGTTCTATTGTAATTTGCGTCAGCTTAAGATAATGTATACTATATTTCTGTATTGTACTTTAATGGTAGAGCGGCCCAGAATACCCTATTTCATTATTGATGTAAGAGCTATACATAAAGGCCAAAATAGTTTAGTCTGCCAAGATGACGTCAAATAAACACTCCTAAAAACAGTCATGAATATAATTGAATCAATTGCTGAGCCACAGTTAATGACATTTCACAAAATCTTTTAAATCGTACTAAATACCGAATTTTATCCAAGGCTGAAATTTCCACAACCTAACCTCGTCATTAGGTCCGAATCCGAACAAGGTACAAATGCAGGATGCGTTAACGATGAGGTTAGTTAATAACGATTAGAATTATTGTACCTTACGGTCGTTTTCGTTCGCTGCACTTGAACTTACATTAAGTTTGAACTAGGATATTACACTGATGCTTCTTTGGGCCCGTCTTAGGCCCACTAATACTTACCTTTTATGCGCATGTCCTGCTTCTTCATATCGAGTCCCGCTCTGCACACCATTCGTTTTACTTACGACCTCATACTCATGAAGCTCAAAATCATATTTTAAGGCCAACAGATTTGAGAACAAACTGGCTCATGTTAAATATTATTATTATAAGATTCTTGGCCTTTTTCTAAAGCAAGATGTACTTTTTTTTTCAAAACTACTTGGTGCTTTGTCGTCATACCAAGTTATTCAGTCAATCATGATGGAACCTTTATCAGGTCAAGCCTCAAAATATCTCGGCTTAACATTCAGACAAAAATTGGACTTAAGAGGGATTACTTTAAGTTACGTTTAAGCCGCTACATTTGCTACGTCTTCGACCCAATGATTTGCAACTTATGCCGTATAAATTAAACTACGTGTAGCCTGGAGGGACTGGATTTTCTCTAGGTAATGAATCAACGATGCCATCTGCAGTGCCTCTAAACTATAGAGACGCGCTTGCACGCCAGGCTTTCAACCGAGTATAGCCTACAGTCACATGCGGTCAGGGCCTGTAGTCTGCAATGCAAATGGATGAATTGCCCGTCAGCCAAACCGCTTCTGATCTCCATCGTCGCTTGCTCTCTAAAACTGTTCACAGAGGTACAAAGTTCAATCAGTCAAATGCAGAAACTATTACATATAATGAACTCTCCAAATTATAAATATGATTACATCTGTGTTGCATACTGTGTTGTTTACTATTCGTTGTCGTCTGCATTCAGAAGTCTAAAATATTCCGCTCAGAATTATGTCGAATAATAACAATAATTATTACTATAATTATATTACTTATTATAGTAGTTATATAGTCTTTTGCTAGCTCTAGAATAGAGTTTAAATGAAGCGGATCGAAAATCAACAGTTAGTGGTTGTTCTCGATTGAACTATCTAGGAAATGTATCGGATGTATTTTTCTGGGTAATCTGCAAATGATTTTGTCTTTACAAGAATCCGCAGCGTAATTAACCATAAACCGGATAATAACGATATCAAGAATAGATAATTAGTGATTTTTCGCTTAGCTTTATTATCTAGTCGAGTGACTATAGACAGGATGTTTGGGTTATTAAAAGCGTGTGGAAACAGCTACCGAGCGTTGAACTAAGGACACTCTGTTCTACGATCATTGATCGACGTAGCAGTACTATTATTATTATTACTGATATTATTAATTCGTATCGAATAATTTAGTAATTAGGTAAGCGAATTCTGCCCTACATACCTACAGCTTGTTAGCGGACACAAAATGGCGCTAGATAGCGTTCGACCAATCCGTTATTTTAGATGTATCCTTTTAAATGGTTACGAAGAATATTGTTAGATGAAAAAAAAGGCGTGTATTTTAAATTAGCAGTCGTCATTCGGGAAAAAAAATCACGCGATAACAATGTCTAGTGTGAATGACGCAAATCAGGAGTGTTGCTCCCTGAGCGTACTCAACGTTCTCATCTACTTAGACATACGTTTAGCACAATACGATAATCTTATTTATGGTGATATTTACGCAGAGGTATGACGTAACGCGTTAGACAAACTGCTCGTTACGATGGCATGTAACACACGACCCAACGTGCCCAAAAGGAACGTTATGACTGTAGACCATGGGGCTAAACGTACGGCTGATTCTTTTGACTTTGCACCTGGTTATTATTGAAAGCGGGTCACCCGGAACTCGGACGCTGCTAAACAAAAAGCTCGCTCATTTTCACTTGACGCCTTTTTAAATTTGCGCTGAAATACAGCTAAAGACCGAGGTCGTCGCGGCACCGAGAAGATGTTAAAATAGCATCGCAATCATCTTTATATGTCCCATATAAGGAAACGTCCAAACAAATGGATAGCGTTGAACAGCTGGTTACAAAAGAGGCAACTGAGGTAATGTACGAGTGCAAAAGGTGATGGGAAACTTCGGTTCAAATTCTCATAGTGTGTTTAGTGAAGCGAATGAAGTTAATGTAACGAAGACGTTAAAGGTAAAGGATATGTTCACACAATCTTTCATGCTAATGTAGCACAAATGCTACACCGAAAGGAGAAAGGCGTGCACTCATACGCGGATCGGTAAGATCAGAACTAAACTTAGAGATTTTAGACGTCATGGATGTTTAAAGCGTCGTCTATGCAAAGATCGATAATGGAATTTTCAACTTTTTTTAGGTCGATTTCGTTGTAACCCACTACCAGGATAGAGAACAAGTTCAATAAGAACATTATCATTATTATTATCGGTGCCTGGCTCCCAGTAGTGGAAAACGTGTTAAATTATCAGATTCGCTCAGAATGAACAAATATTATACGTACTATGCTTACGCATTGCAAATACCCCAATAAAAAAAAAGAGAAGTCTTTTAGTTGGCTTAGACAAAAACATACTTTTATAAGGAAATAGGAAACGCTATACGAAAAACAGTAGGATCTGTTAGATAGAAGGGGATCAGAATACGCAGCTATCTAGTACTTATTATCGTTTATTATCGATGTTAGGCATATAGCATGTTAGGAAGTAGCAATAACCACCATATCCCATTGCAGTAGAGCGGCCATCATTAGCGCTAAGTCTGCCGCAAATACGATGCGAGCATCCTTAGTGGTTATTTTTATAGTAATATCCAAATGATTTAGAGAATTTCTTGTGGATATTAACCGTTGGCTTCTCTTTTGCCCCGAGATCGGCGGGTCAAAACGCTTTTATTCATCTAACCAGGCTTGGGCATCAGACATCAGTGTTTCAATTTAAATCAGCGTATGACCAACATTGTCTGAATTATTACGCAAGCTCTCAGTGAGAGAGGTCTGTAGCTGCTCGTCGCGTTCGTTCACGGCTGCAACTATAGCCAGCATCTTTATTCTTCCGAGCTTACTTTTCTTCCTTCCCCGTAACCGTTAAGATAGCACTTTTTGTCTTAGTTTTGGCGTCTTGCCCAACAATGTATCAAAACCTCACGACCTTTCCCTCTTATGCGGCGCTAACAAAGCACAGATCTAGGACAACGAGACTTTTTCCAACGCTTCTGCCATAGCTTTTTTATTACTGCCCCAAATGCCCCTTTTCTTACAACAGCCTCATTGTTAGTCCTTTTGGAAGTTTGTGTTCTAAGGACCCGGTCACCGTTTCTCTGATTTCGGTTCCGCCATCCCGCTGCGACGGTCAAAAGCTGCTTCTGGCTGGGTAACCCGATCTTTACTCGACCACTTTCCAAAAGTAGAAAGATGTCGACATTTAGCGAGACTCGTCATTCTATGTCGCCTTTTGTTCCCGCTAAGAACCCATTCGTTCCGGGGGCTTTTATCCGTTTGGCGAAAGAACCGTGCGCCACTGCTGTAATTCACAGGCCGCTGCTGATTATTCCATTGTTGTATCTCGTTGGCCCTCACTGTTTTAGCAGCCAACAGTCCGCAATGAGGCATCTATAGCGAGGAGGATGTCGTTGAGACGGTGATGCTAATGTCAATTCTCGTGCCCTCTAAAGACTTTTGATATGAGTGCCGCTTTCTATAGTGTCGGAAAACCACGGCAATTAATCAATGTTCATTGCTCCTCTCCGAATATCCATAAGTTTATACGAGGAAAATATGGTTCAGATAGGACACCTAGCATTAGGCACGAGCGGTAATGAAGAAAAACCTACGGCCGTCTAGATGATAACCGAACTGTAGCCTGTGACCGACTTACCAGAAGTGAATGAAATCTCCATGTTCGACAAATCGCATCCTCATGCATTCGTACAAATAATTAGACATTTTGTTAGTATAACTTTTAATGCGCGAAGAAATAGTTAAACATTTCTCATGTTCGAGCGCACGTGTTTTCTTTTAGCGAAAAATGATACCCTTCGTTTTATGAAAACTCCAACACACGTCTAATATCATTCTCCAGGATCCTTCCTTAACTCATAAAAAAAAAAAACAGAAAGCGCTTCAATGAATGTATGGACTCTATCTGACACAGACCAGAACTGGCTTGTGTTGGCTACGCGGCCAAAAGCAGAACCCCACTTCGGTCACCGTCGCAACCACAAACGTTGGGCAAGTCAGGCGTTTCTCTTTAGTTACGTTATTGTCATGTCCTGCCGTTAGATACAGATAGGGCAATGCTCACAAGCTCCCCCTCCTCAACTGTCGTGGTTTCACAAGAAGGTTCCATTTAGCCTTTGAGGAGGTTGAGGCGAAGTGGAGCACGTATATACCAAAGGAGCTCTTAGGGCCACTTAAGGACAGTGGTCGAGTTCTTGGGTGCCGGCTGTCATAGGGCATAGAAGTGATCCAGAAGTGTGTTCATTCAATGGCTGAAAAGTTCGCCAGCGAAAGCTGTTTTATGATCGGCCGTTCATAAAAAGCTGAGAAAACAATCATGAAATCTCTTCTTTTGTCTTCTGATTGTCCTTAAAATACAATGATGAAACAAGGACGATTTGTGTGACTTCTTAGCGAGTTCGCCGGCTTAAATAAATTAACCGCAAAGCTAAGCAATAAATGCATACCTTGAGATATTTAATGCATCCATAAAATACTTAACCGTTATTTTCAATGACAATAATTACACATATTGCTTTCTATATTTTGATATATATTTCTATATTTCATAATTATATATATATATATATCTTAAAGTATATTAATTGAGCTTACCTTTATACTAACTCCTATATTCGTTTGCGATCTTAGTCAAAGGCATATTGCAGCACACTAAGTATAGTACCGCATCGTCATCCCAGCATCTCTTCCGGCTTCACATTCATGCTATGTGCTACCCAAATAACAATGGGTTTCACATTTGAATGGATGTAGTTTCAAAGATATCGACTACATGAAAGGTTTCGAAGCTGTCAGAAACGTCACCCCTATGTTTGTTAAGATCTAGACTCACTCCTGTTACCAAATCATATTCCACTGTGTTAACTCAGACCACAACTCAAAGCTCTCAGAAATAAAGTATTATTTCTGTAGAGACGACAGTCACTGTGAAGTCTTCATTCTTCATCATGCTTAAAAGTGAATTTGAATTGCAACACATTGGCCAAACTGCTGTTCCTCTCATTTGTCAACTTGTAGAATGCCTAACAAGTAAGCTAGGTTATCATTTAGGTAATAATTGGTTGGAAAAGAAAAGGATAAAGCCGATTATGAACTAAAATTGGCCCTCTAAGTGAAACGGTGATCTAATGTGCGATTCAAAATTTCTCCTAGTATCAGCATTTGGGTCGACCCAGCCGATTCCTCTTCTTAAATCAACAGTTAATAGTTACTTTGCAACACTAGATCTCAATAGTTAATCAATATATATATAGGCTAAATCGAACGAATTGCCCGTCTATGCCGGCGATACATGCCGTAAAGACATAGGAGGATCGATGGCATCGAAACTTTTTTGTGTGACGAGACAAACATTTGTTTGCGTTTGTTACTAGCATCCATAGCGACTGTTCTACGGAGGAGGGGAGAATATTTTTAACTTTAGCAGAATGCGTAGACTACGCTTCAAAACTGGTCACAAATACTACATCGAACCGACACCGATGCCCGGCATTTTATAATTTGTTTACAAAAAATCTGTAAATAAATAATGGATGGGCTGTTGAAGTCTTGAAGTCGGAATATGGCGAAGCGTCTTGTTTTAGCTTGTGTCGAAGTCAGCTGCAAATTGAACCAACCGGGATTCCGTATAATAGAATTCACTCAGATTGGCTAATTAGAGCGGGCTATCCGATAATTCTCAACCTAAATCCACTATATTATTTTATGCAATATTAACTGGTGGTGCACCAGAGAACGAATAGGTGAAAACCTATAGCCCTTGCAAGCGATAATCTGAACTCAATCTTATATCGGCTATAATTTAGGGCCACCTGAATTGCTACTACTTCGATAGAAGAAAATATAAGGCAAAAAACACCCTTACCGAAATTACTGAGTTTCGAATTATTTCAAAGATGTCTACTTCACAAAGGAAAGTTACCTATCATACGGACTTCAAATTGTTAATTTACAGTATACTGAATTGAAGAGATTTAATCTAAAAACACTAGTTCACAATTGCACGAATGAATGGACTTCAACGGGAACTTCGGAACAAATCGATTTTCGGAACTCGACTCTATAATAACATTGGTGCTATCTAGAAAACGGTATCGTGGCATATTAAAACAGTAGCTTCTTGGTTTTATTCATGGGCATATAAAACGAGCTCATGCAATCTTCAATTCCGTAAATCTCTCGCTTTACAAATATCCAGCCATCTGACAGCTAACAGAAAATGAAAGAATCGGGCCTTCGTCATTGATGTAGATACGCTAACAACAATTCAGAAACACAGGATATTATTACGTACGGTCCGGTAATAACCCGTTTGCGAGAAGCACATCTTCTAATTGATGATTTAATTGAGTTATTATCAGTTTGTTGAATATTTACTAAATACTAAATTCAACAATAAAGGTATAGTAACGAGCGGCTTAAAATACGTACTTGAATGATATTTTTAACTGCTATGCAGGACTGATCGAACAGTAAACCCGGCAGAGCCAAAGTTCAAGAATCGTAAGAAGTAAGGATCTGTCATTGACATAGCACCGAACTGACTTATATCAGCTATGCTATCTCAGATAACGAACCATTTTGAGGGTGCAGTGATCGGCCTCAAAGCGGAGCGAATGAAAAAAAACAGAGACACACAAATAGCTTTGAGCTACTCGATTTAGGTCGTTGCAGTAGTTCGTTATCACGAAAATGCTACAATCAAGAACGTCATGCGAGGTCCCAAGTGGCGTCCTCCGAGTTTTCATGGATGGCATTTGAAAATTTAACTTGTCTCTTATCTACTAAACGAATATTGGGTCGCATCGACTGTAGAATGACCCAAACAGCGACAGGGTCTGACAGCAGCTTACAATCCAATTGTATCAAGGTGACTCGCTGTTGGGACGTGTTCTTACAAAATTCGTGCTTCAAATATGTATTTTAATGATATGTACATACAAGTTGACGCCAGGTTATAGGTGGCTAAGTAGCAGATGCCATTTCCACTAATGATCTATTTGATACGTTGTTCTATGTTTCAGTTGTAGCAACCAATGGAACATACAATCCTTTCAGTTTCAGCCTTACCCATGAAATGACGACCGCGGCTATCCGGTCCGGTATCCAATACGAACCAAGACGCTTCTTACGATTGACAGGTAAGCACGTTACCTACTAGGCTGTTACGGGGACGACCGCTACTAAAGACTATTTCTTGCCCTCAAAAAATAATAAGTATTACGCAAAAAGTGCATACGTTATCATCTAGCTAGTCTATTTTTCGCTCCATACTATTATATCAAATTCAAAAGGAAAATGGTCGCCATAATATTTTCGTACATTATATTTATTGACTAGCTTAAAATGAGTTTTTATATTTGATCATTAGCCCCGTCTACTGTAGGTCATAACTGTAACGTAGTGTCGATAATGAGGATTTCTGCTTTATTGGTGCCATGCTTTGATGGTTGGCATAGGCTCACGTCTTCGATTAATTATAAACAAAACACAGTAATAACAGCAGAAAGTCATGGTAACGTCGTTGCAAAATTCGATCGATTTTTCTACATTCGTTTCGAAACATACGGAGCTCATCATTGACTTTGAGCGATAGAACAAATATGAATCCATAGAGTGCAACAACAGATTTACTGCGTAAGCAAATTTCTTTATTTCGAAATTATCTAGACGCTGTATGAAGCGACGCGTCATTATATCGAAATTTATCGCCGTTCGGACACGAAGCTACGTAGCTCAATCAATCCTTGCTGACATACGTTATTAATTAAAGATCTGTTATTGACTGGACGTTTATTGAAAGCGAAAAATACTTCTCCATGTTTAGCTTTCTTTTCATAAAAGCAATATAACAATTGGCCCGTGTTTTTGGTTCTACCTAGTAGAGTCTGGCGAATAACCGGAACTGACATAGACGGCGTTTTTGCTAATCACCTCTTGTTGTCCTTTATGGGCCTTTTTGAAGACTACCAATCTCATACGATGGATCCGTTTTAAGAGGACAAACCCTTATTCTATGAATGTTTAATTAAATCGATTTCTTGCAACGCATAAGTGGCCTGTCCATATGTGGGCGTAAAAAGTAAACATTAGAAATGCCTTCCTTATTTTATCTATGTACACAATTACAACCAGTTCATGGAAAAATCTCCCTTCCTGATGTGTCCCTAGTTTTTTTCCTCTTCACTGAATGGCAGTTGAAGTGACTACGATTTCATGGCAATCTTTTTAGGACTTTTTAAGACAATTTCTCGGGTAGTCACTCTGAAACTGGTAACCCAAGTACGCCATATAGCACTGATCGAAATACGCATACCGCTTACGCACTTAAAATCGTATTCGATTTCGTCCCACCTTGCTCTGCACCGGCTGTGAAACCCGATAACAGTCAAATTTCAGAGGAACGCAAGTGTATACGAGGAAGATAACCCGTCATTACCATGAAGACCTATATAACACATGTACTAATCATCACGTTATTCTTCGTCCGGTCTTAAGATAGTAGTAGCATAATACTACTTTAGGCTGCTAGTTATTTAACTAAGCGGTGATGCAGTTATAGCCGAGCTCACACAGAAGAAAGTACTTACAGAATTCCTAGTTGAGTCCAGCCGACGAGACACTTGGCTCGCTAATGTCTCACGCAACCCATTTATATCGCCCGCTGCCCACAGGGAAATAGGGGCATGCGAGATGTATGTGCTTAAGGCCAGACAAGACACTGTGTTAACGACCGCCAAAGGCAGTGAGATTAACAGCGGCATACGTCAAAAACAGTATCACTTTTACGACCGCGCGACATCCTGCCCCCAGGCATAGATAAGAGTCACAAATCTGTAATAAGAGAAAAAAAAACATTGCGGCCCAACTTGCGTTGTACTACTAGCGTGTCAATTGCCAGCATAATTAGAACACTTATATTACATAACGATTCTAGCAAAAAACACATTAATGAGTTCAGGTGTTATATATAGAAGCGCCAAGGGAGGTAATCGGGCCGTGCGGTGGGGCGAGAATTAACCACTAACGATAAAATGTTGAATGAGCGAGAAACAAGCGAGCTAAGCGGGGGTCGAGCCCACACATATTGAGGAATGGCGTCTATGGAATGGGTCAACAGAACACGTAATGTAATAGTGGCTCGAATCTGTTTTGCGATTAGCATGCCTGCACCACTCAATCAATAGTGGACGGTTCAAAGTAACAGGTTTCGGCGGGACTATTGTTTTATTGCATAGTATATACATAAGAATTATATATTTGTCACGATATAAAACACGACAATAATACTGCAATTTATGTTGCAGACGTTAAATGTGCACATTTTCGAGCAGCCTCACAGCCGGGCTTATATTTCGTTCATTTTTCTACTGGGGTCTTAGGTCGTAGTGACCTTTGTGTTATAGAGCGCCGCAGACTTATCATTATGGTATATATATAGATATATATAACAGTAAATTAAAAAGCACAACGTCCTGATCGTCATTACATGAAAACATATTTCTTTGAGCATCGGCTGCAAGTATTGGTCCTGCTTCCTATTCTGTCGGTCAGCCAAGGCTTGTATGTCTCACAAAATAAGGGGAATAATACAGTGAGCATTGTGCACTTCTTAAAAAAGAACAAAAAAAGGTACGTCGACTCAATTCTGGCATAATTTATCACCGAAGCGTCAATTTTTCTTGTGAAATATGCGTTCGTCATATGCCTAGAGCTTTGACCGGAAAGAAAAACCGCTTTGTGTTGGAATATCACGATTTCGTGCTAGCACCTACGCAGTGAAAAGGTTCCGTGGACAATTTTGATCTATTCGTAAATATAGCCTATCCTGCCAAGTCGAGCTACAATCGATCCAAATCGAATTCGTGATCAGCTGTCTTTAAAGCTGATCACGAATTCGATACGAACTTGAAGCGTACTTAATTTTGCAAACATATGTTCGCAAAATTAAGTAGGCTTCAAGTATAGTTCTTTCTTTGTCAATAACCAACCTTGCAATTTTGGTCTTCGTTACTTCACTTCTGGCACGTAGCAAAAGACACGTGCACAAATCGTGAGATCTGTTTGCTTCCTACACCAATGTTTTTTTTTTGTTTAATCTAAACTAAATGCATGTCTTTTTATCAGTCGATATGCAGTTTGAAAATGGCACAGACCGATACTTACACACGTATTCAGATCAGCTAAGGAAAAACCAAAATAGAACCTGTGTTCCTAAAATAGGCTGCACATTTCGATCCAAACGGCCTAGCGGGTCTGTGGACCTGCTACCCTACCGTTCGCCAAAAACGTTTTCAGAACGCTCGATATAGTAGCTATCGTATTGCTACGGATGGACACCAGTTAGAAAAATGCAATTGTACAGCTTGTTTCCTACGACACCAGCTCCGACTGATAACAGTTTAATATAACGGTGCCGCGAGAAAGAATCGCCAGAAAGCAATTCAAGGCTCTGGTTTGCAAGGCACAAGAACATGATGAGTTAGATAGCCGAAGCATTGGGCCGCAATTTGGCCTCTGTAGGTATCCTTCAGAGTAACGCGGTAGAGTCAAATCAATTATAGAATTCGCCGGCTTACATGCCTAGCCCTTTAGCTAGCCCTTTTTAATAATGTTGACGAACATCATATCTATGTAATTGAATTTGTATAAATATATATGAATGATGTGAAAGTAAATGCGAGACCACTATTGGGCATTAGCTATCGTGTTGTATATGCCGATAATGGAACTTGAACAAAGGTCTCTCGACTTTGTGCATTAAGGTACGCTTTTTTTAGATAGTATTCCGGCAGTGACATCTTGTAGATGGCAAATCGTCGTTTTCTGGCAACACGGCTTACTACATACTGCCAACAAGAGCGGTAACCTTAAAAACTGGCTAAGAAAAATATGAACAGTCTTTTTAGCTTTCTATTTTGGTTATTATTTCTTTTAGTTATGCCTTAGTAAGCATATTATAAATGTGGGGTGTCGAACAAGTATAAATGGACCTGGCAGAGACACACTAGATCTGCGGCGTGAGTTATTTTTGATGAAATAAGATTACTCTAATCACAGGAATCAGGTCGTTTTACTAGAAATCTAAGTGCAAGGACTCTGCTGTGATTCCAAGTATTTTCAATTTTGAGTATACAACGGAACCCCGACGCGTATTGTTCGTAGAAGCGATTAATGTTTGAGAAGGCAAACTAAAAAGCGTGTACACGCGGATTAAAATAAGGATCGTAGGAAGCTCATTTTTCTCTAACCAGACAAAGAGCATTCGGGTTCATAACGCGATTCGGTATAAAATTTATTAGGTCCTCGTTTCTATTATCCTCACGTCGACCCACTTCGGCAGTCCCCGGCTGGCCTATGACCGTCATATTCCAGTTTGAGATCTGCTACTAGGTATAACAGACGTGTTCGCGACCAACGCGAACAACCGATGCTCCAAAAAAATTTTCCATAAATTTTGTTAGAGCCCTTCTTGCTTCCTATTTTATTTCGATTTAGCCCAGGCACCCGCACGTTAACTGCCCGATTCATTGATTATTCGATGCCCACCGTTCAAGAGACTGGAATCAAAATGGGCCAAAGTAGGACGACAAGCGGGTAGTTTTTCTCCGTCCTTAAGAATGAATCGATATGCTGTGCGAGCGAAGCAGATCAATGGGCCTCCGTTGGTCGGGTTATCGTTTTCACATCCAACGGTTCCGCTCAACTTTGACCGCTGGTCGGGCCTTACACACTAGTCGGATCATATCAATACAATCATAACCGCAACTGCAAAATATCGATGAATATTGCCTCTGGCTTAAAATGAGAGCAGATGAATAGGAAAGTTGCTCAGTTTGCTACTAGGCTACTTTCCACCGTCATGTTTTTTACGCCCCAAAAGAAATTGTCAGCGCTTCGAACTAACTCGTGGAATGTTTCGTTTATTTGAACCCATATCTAGCCCACATTTTTACATAACCAAAGTGAATAGTAGAGTGCATATTTTTTTTAGACATCGGCCATTTTGCGTTTGTCATCCAATTCATGCTCGCCCGATTTTATTTTTCTACTTTGATCCTTCTTTTTTGGCTTTTGAGTGCGTGCCTGACTTTGTCTGTCGGTAGATTACGATTTAGTGGGGCGCAAGCAGTACACGACGGAAGATTTTTGTCCCTAATAATTCAAACTGTTCTTTGGTCGGTCGTCATGGATTTCATTCTTCACAAGTATCACGAGTTACAAACAACGGTAAATATGTTTCCTTCTTTTCCATTTTAGATAATGGGTCTAGGTGCGTTGACAAGTTTCCTATGGCTGATCGCATACAGATTAGTTTCAGCGGATAATCTATTTAGGCAATCCTAATGTAAATTGTAAGAACCATGTTAAATCTATAGTTAAAATACGAAGCTTACTTTGGTTTGGAAAAGCTAACTGAGACAGTACAGCTTAGCCGTTAGGTGGGCACATTGATATAGAGTGGCAAAAAGTAGTGAAGGGCGGACAACTTATACTAGGTAATTGAATGGAACGCAGATTTGGCCCAGGAAGCTAATTAAGAGCCGTGGCATTTGTTAAGTAAGATCATCTAGTGCAGTCATGGGTTTAGCCATGGGTAAATGAATACAAACATCTGTTTAATCTTTTGCTTATGAGCGTTTAATTAGTGGAAACGTCGAAGCTAATCGGCGCACAGAGCCTGTAATACCGGGCACGAACTTCAAAGCCTAAAATCTTCACATCAGCCCATTATGCAGTAAACTTCTGATCGCTTAAAGGATTTACTCAGATCGGTTTCTATCAAACCAAAAAAATTTAAGCTTCTAGAGGGTAAGTTTTGTCTCGTAAAAACGTACTCTTTTTATGAAATAAACTCTTTTTGTAGCTGAGAATGCTCTTGGCTGTATAAATCTGGAATCAGTCAAAAAGCTGAATTTGTCATCTGATCATTATATGTAAAATACTATAGTCGTGCTGATTATAAGTAATAAGCTGAGAATTCTGAATCGACAGCTGAATTTAATAATAAAATCTTATCTTGCTTACGCCTGTTAATCTTCAGAGCAGAGAGTCAATGTTAATACTCCTAGCAGATTGACTGCGGGTGGTCAATGAGTCGTTAGTTAGTTTCTCGTTTTTTCTTTATTGTTACGTAGATGCGTACCAATTTGCTATTGATGGTACCAAATATATGAAGTAAACAATATAAGGCGAGAAATTTGTAACCAATCCTAAGGATAAAGGAGTAAATCTGTCTGTTGGAGAGAGATCAAGTGTCTGGCCAAACGTTCCGAAAGCAACTCCAGACTGCAGCCAGCCACTTGTGCACTGAACCATGGGCATCGCTGTCGATAGCAAGACGCACCTGCTTTGTCCTCTTCTTGTCCTACGTTGTCCGTGATCGGAGCGAAGCGCATTGGGGACGTTTTGTGGGAGAGAATTGCACGCTTGGCCCCATCTAAGAGCCATCGTGTAACGATGCATATACCGATATACCATGAGCTGCATATATATATGCTGTGCGTCGCATAACCGCATCACGGTCTCGTGCACAAGCACGGTCGCGATACGTAAATACGCCGATATTTTTATTTCTCTAGTAACAACAGCCGCAAAAGTGGGGCCAACAGAATGTAACATAAAAAAGCACCAAGCTAAAGACCAATACTACAATAAATTGATCTGAAATAAAGCGCCACCTGAAAGAATAGGGCATATAAAAGGACACTATACGTCCTGCTCGTTTCTGAAAACTTGGCTTATTTCTAATGCCAGAACTAGCTAGTCTAAATCTAAACACCTGCATG